TTGTTATTGATCAAATAAAATTTATTGTAGGAATATAAAAATCAGATGCATCCAGTGATATCAATCCATGTAGGATTGGATCAAATGAGTATACATCATAGTTATCGGTGTATTATGGTCAGATTTCTACGAATATGGGATGAACGAAATCCTTTCAATGGGAATAGGTTCAATGACATAGGATTCTTTTGATGAAAATGTATGTTCTAATTAATATTGATTTTCTTATACTATGTTTATTAAAAATCTAATCTTTTCTACTTATAATGTTGCAGGAAAATGTTGTTGAAGTAAAAATATTTGAGGATCATGCATAAAATTTTAAAAATATAACAAACGAGAGATATATTTTTAATCAGACATTTCAAGATTCTACCAAATAAATATATATACAAATTAACGAATAGTAAATTTCTTATTTATTTTACAGAATATACTACTATTGAAAAAGTTGTTGTAACTACTTATAATATTGTCAAAGAAAAATTTCGAATATGTTTATACGATAATTTGTTGGCGTTAGCAAACAAAAAACACGATCTACCAGGTATGTGATAATATAAAAAACCAAAAAGAAAATATTGGATCTTATAATTAATATATTCTCTAATGTTGCAGATATTATTGGAGTTTTAGTCGCAATACAAGGATCAAATTTACGAATGTCATCGTCAACTCAGAAAATTATTCTTCGTTTATTATTGGAAGAGTAAGTTTTCAAATTTTATTTACACTCCAAAAAATATCATTTTATAAAATTTTAACTAAATTAGTTTTATATAAACTAACATAAAATTTCAATTTAAAAACCAGCAACAATATCGTCAAGCTTTCTGTATGGGATGATCTCGCTGTAGAACTTCGTTCACAAATTCATAGATTGAATGTCAGAAAAAGTATCACAGTCATTATAGGTGTAAATCCAAAGATTATTCACGGTAATTATTTAACACAAATTAATTTCTAAATATTTGATAGATTAATATTTAAAAACCATTATTATTGTTATATTGAGTTTACTAATACATTTTATGTATCAGGTGTTCTATCACTCAACACATCAACATCTACAAAGATTTACATAGATGAAAAATTGAACATTATCAAAACTTTCCGCTTAAGGTAAATAAATTATATCATTCTTCAAAAAAATCTATATTTCTAATATTTACCACAATAATTTTTATTATTACCTAATAACTGAATTTTTGGCAGGCATTGAAGAAAGTCACATCAGTACTAAAGACAACCATAATAAATCAGTTACAGTGAAATGGTAAAATATCTATGCAGTAATAACAATATTTTGTCATTGATTTAATTCTGCTTGCAAAAAAAAAATATAATAATGTTTTTATATTATTAAAGTTTTCTATTTATATTTAGTTCAACTCAAACAACTTATCTTAGTTTTTGCTACAATCATAATAACAAATTAAATACAAATATAAACGTCAAGTGTTTCATATCATACTACAACTCAAAATCATCATAAAATCATTACAATCAACCAAACCAATTGATTTAATAAGAACCGAAAAAATATTCAATTTTAATTTACTGACGTGGCATGTTCACGTAGTAAATTTTAATTATCTGTCCTATATTTACTTATCGCAATTCACCAAAATTTAACGTCATTGGAGATAGTGTAGAAAATTGTTAAACATTTTGAGATTTGAGATTTCAAGTCTGTACGATACACGTAGATTATTATCTAGATTAAAAATAAAGACTTAAAGATAAAAACGATCAACAAAATATAAAAAATGATAAGAGAAACATATAAAGAAAGAAAATAGTGGTAAAAATATTACGGATATCTACAAATTTTATAAAATTTATGAATAAATTATATTTTGTTAATTATAGAATAGGATATAATACCTCATACTATTATATTTAGATTCATCCTTATCATCTTATTATTTTCACACTATGACAAAAAAAAAATTTAATAGAATAATTTAAAGGAAAAATCCCAACAAAATTATCGAACTTGGAGATAGCTGACATATTAATACCGAACTTTTTCAACTTTCAAATTAAATATGAATTTGTCGATTTTGACACAAAAAATATTGAACTTGTAAATCTTTGACAAAAACCTCATCGACGTTAAACGATGTTAAATCGACTAACGGTTGAACTGACATGGCGGATAACTCAAAGCTTTGTCATCCGCCACGTCAGAAAAAATAATTTTAGAATAAAAATAAAAATATTAAATAATAAAAAGAAAAATAAAAAGAAAAATAATAAAAAAAATAAAATTTAAAAATTTAAAAACAAAATTTTAAATAAAAATAAAAAAACTAAAAATTAAAAATTAAAAATTAAAAATTAAAAATTAAAATTTTAAAACGCCGTTTAAAGTCGATGAGGTTTTTGTCAAAGATTTATAAGTTCAATATTTTTTGTGTCAAAATCGACGAATTCATATTTAATTTGGAAGTTGGAAAAGTTCGGTATTAATATGTCAGCTATCTCCAAGTTCGATAAATTTTTTTGGGATTTTCCCAATCTAAATGATAAATTTAAAACAAATTTTATTATATTTAATTTTAAATATAAAAAATTATTTAAATTTGTAAATATTCAGTCCGCGCGATTCGCGCAGGTTATTATCTAGTATATATAATTGAGTCTTAAAATTTGCGTTAATAATTTGCATATATTAAAATTTTATTAACAAAAATACTATGGCGCATCTCAGGACCACCATAATTGAGATATGGATAGCGTCATGATTCCAGCATACCTTTTTGGTACATCCGAAATATACATATATATATATATATTCCTAATAATCTATCTACATAGTATGTATGTATGTATGCGTGCATATATACATGTATATATATATGTGTGTGAAACAACTCCAAATGGGTGTACTGTTTTCCACTAATAGTCATGAATTTATAAATTATTGAAGGAAATCAACAAGTGTACCAAACCCTGGAGCCTACAACTATATGTCATTACCACTTAGGTGAGATATATTAAAACATAAAACAATGTACGAAAACCCTAATTAATTAGTCCTTATTGGCTTTGCCCTAATCAATCCGATTCATGGAATTAATGACTTAGCCGCAGCACCTACTTGCCAGACATGAAAATCTTCCTCCAATCTCCACAGATGAAAACATAATGTGACGATGATTCCATGACTTATTCGTAATCCAAATGATAGAATACAACATATATATATATGTATCAATTAGGCACTCCAATCCAAATCATGTCACATTTCTTGATATGTCACAGTACATATTTACAATAACACACGTGATACGAAATACATAGTTGAATTCGTATTCGTACACTTTGAAAACATCCAAATCCATGCAAACACACACTTCCAAACCATCAAACGCCAAACGCCAAACCACAAACACCATGCAAGATTCATGGAGAGGAATCGAAAACCATATTATATATTTCCCAAATCAAACCCTAGGAATGGCTTTGCACATCAACGGCTTCTTCATCTCCATGGACAGCTTCAACACCTCGGTCAGATCCACGTGGTGGTCCGCCGGCTCCACCCACTCGAACCCTTGAAGCAACTGAGCTAGCCACAGCTCCACCGTGGCTAACCCCATCGTCTTTCCAGGGCAAACCCGTCGGCCTGACCCGAATGGCGCCAACCTCAAATCCGAACCCATGACGTTACTCACAATGGCATTATCCAACTTACCTTGCTCCTCAAGAAACCTCTCTGGCCGGAAAATGTGAGGCTGAGGCCAAATGGCCTCATCGTGGGCTATGGCCCACATGTTGACCATGGCGGTGGTTCCGGCTGGGACAAAGTGAGGCCCGAGCCACGTGTCGTGGATCGATAACCGGGCCCATGAGAGCAGTGGTCCCGGCGGGTGCATCCTTAGGGTCTCCTTGACGATGGCTTTGAGGTAAGGGAGGCTAGGGAGGTCGGAGTCGGTCACCGGTCGACCTGCGAGGATGGCATGGATCTCGGCTCGGGCCTTGGCTTGAACGTTGGGGTGGAGAACCATCCTTGCTAAGATCCATTCCAGCAGGATTGCTACTGTGTCTGTGCCCCTGAATATCATCTCCTACATATTTATACACATACACACGAACCAACAAGATAGAAAATTATGAGGATCAAATCAATATTTGTATGTATCTACGTAAGTATGTCTATATATCATATGTGTGTGTGACCAGAACTTTAAGCATCGCATGAATGAATCGTGATATAGTATAATATGAGGGTTCAAATCCCACTTGGAACAACCATTATAAAAAAAAAAAAGAGAAAGAAATAAGCAAACCCTAGCTACTCGATTAGGGTTGAGACCAAATTTCCATCTTTGGGTTTATCAAAAAAAAAAAATAGAAAGAAGCAAACCCTAGCTACTCGATTAGGGTTGAGAACAAATTTCCATCTTTGGGTTACCTCTATCTAGAATCAGTTCGATTTCATAATTCATATCAATTATTAGAAAATGCTAACATAAATATAAATCCAGGAAAAAAAATGAGAATTTTGGTGTGATCCTGTAATTGGATATATTGTCCTAAAAAAGTAAATAAATCAAGATAGAACTAGGGAGACATACCCACAAAACAGCAACCAGATCAGAATCACTGAGCTTGTTCTCTTCTTGCAACCCTAGCAAGACATCAACGAAGTGGTCGCCAATCTCTTCTGGTTCCAAATCCAGATGATCACCATGCTCGTAACTTTCTTTATTTCCACTTGTACCCTTCCCACGCTCCTCTATCATCTTCCTCACGAAGACATCAACTTTACCCACCAAATCTCTGCATCTCCTCCTCACTCCCTGAAAATCGAACCTTGCCAGAGCCGGAAAATGATCGCTCCAGTTGAAAATCCCCAACAAATCATACCCTTCTTGCACCAGATTCTCAAGCTCATTCCCTTCTTCCCCGGAGAATCTTTCCGGCGAAAAATCGTAGCTTTTCCCGAAAACGATCATCATAACGTTGCTCAGAGAAGCCCAATGCAAGATATCCTTAATCTTGACTTCTTCATGTCTCTCCATCACGGCTTTGACGTCACGGATCATTTTCTCGCCCATGGACCGACGGAACTCCGAGAACCGTTGGATCCTCTTGGGGCTGAAGAGATGAACGGCTGAGATTCTCCGGAGAGTTCTCCAGTAATCACCGTATGGCGCGAAACCCATGGCCCGGTGGAAGAGAAGTTCGTAGGCTGATTCTTTGATCGGACGGTCGGCGAAGGCCGAGCTGTTCAAGAGCTCTTTGGCGGTTCCCGGGTCGGTGGAGACGATGAACCTGCTCAATCCCACTGAGAAAGCCATGAGAGATCTCGACCCGGGACACGATTTGACGACCCGGGACAAAATCCTGTGGGTCGGGTTGTTTCCGGTGAAGGCGAAAAGGAGTCCCAGGACGGGTAGACCCGACGGACCCGGGATTGAAGCCAGGTTTTGGGATCCGGGTCGGGTTAGGAAATGGGTCCGGATCTTGTAAATCCCCCATGCGAAGCCTCCAGGTGTTAACCAGAAGGCGAACACCGAGAGGAAGAGGGAGAGAGAAACGAAGAGCCCGAGCCCGAACCCAAACCCAGAGCCGAGACCGAACCCAGTTGTCGAAACGAGAGGAAGGAGAGTATCCATGAGAATTTTCTTAAAATCTGATGGCCAAAATTAGGCAAGAGGAGCTGAGGGATTACTCGGAGAAGACGAGTGAAGAGTCAAGTCGGAGACAATGTTTATAAAAGGAAGAAAAGTGAGGGAGAGTTTATTGTCGGATTTGCCCCTACGTTATGCTTCACCGGAAGTTGCTTTTGGAAAGTGGGCGGTGTTTTTGGCGTTAATTACATGTTTTGCCATTCTTGCCTGCCAAACTTTGCCACTGTGTTTTGTTTTGGAAGAAACAAATTTGATTATTAGATAATATCCCGTGGTTTATATGCAAGGCACTTAGAGTTTTGAAATGTGCAACGTGATTAATATGATATATGTAATATGTGTGTATACAGACGTGTGTGCGTATGTATTTGCATGTACACGTTTATATATATATATATATATATGTGATTATATCATAATAATGGTGACAATTGGATCGATCCAATTATTTATTTATATAAATGATTAACACAAAACAAAAGTAAACAAAAGAGAGAGACAATAATTGAATCACCATATTAACCACATATTATGCGCATCATTTTGTATAAAATTATATTTGTGTTTGCAATGAAATTATAACTTCTATAATCAATATCGGCCCCACATGCCAATGTTGGAGCATGAAGGGTTAATTAGTCTTGAGATTTGATAACACCAACGTTTATAGTTGGATCTACATGTTCACGGAATTCTTAAGATTAGGTTTAATCATGTAAACTATAACATATCAAATATCAAATTAATTCTTTTTTTTTCGTACATTTCATGAATTAGATCTTTTGAGATCGTTGCAACGATAACAACATGACCGAAAACGTATTCAAAGACCGTCGATTGCGAAGAAATTTGTGGACAAAGTTTAGAGTTCTTCCGCTCCTCCAAAGCATATATAGACTAACAAATATTGGCATGAACTCGTAGTTAGAAAAAAAAAACAAATCAACACTGCAAAATTTTCGATCACCCATTTGATCATTGTCGAATGAGCCTCTTGAAGATGTATCAAGGTTTACTATTAGGAGAAGATTACTCTTACAAATAATAAAAAAAATTTAAATCGAGTTCATCCTTTTTTATCTAAATATCAAATAATTGCAATAATCGCCTCCGTAGCATAGTGGTAGTGCGTTCGCTTCGTAAGCGAAAGGTCGCGAGTTCGATCCTCGCCGGGGGCTTTCATTTTTAATTTTAAACTAATTATTTCATTAAATTTTTATAAACTTCGAACAGTCGGTCAGTCCAAATGTGTAATTACTGGGCCTATGTTTTGTTGAAGAAATATTATGGGTATTATTCACTTTCCTCATCGATGATGCAATCAATGAGAAATGGGCCTAATTCATTTTATGGACGGTCCATTACATACATTTCTTCGACCTCATATATATATATACGTTTTTTTTTCTATAGGCTTTTTAAAATTGTCAACTTCAAGTACGCATATTAATTGCATTTCGGTGTGAAGACAGAGTAAAAAAAAAAAGATGCATTAAGTAATTCTTTACTCTATTTTCTTTTTGGATTCTCAAATATTGTGATCTTATATATAATGACACGCAGGCATAATCAACAGCCGGCTATATATATGATCTCAAATTTAGACCTTAAATCCATTCGTTTAACATGAAGATATATTACCTTGACATACATAAGAACTTCCACAAATGTAGTTATATATATATATATATATATATCAATTAGAAAACTGAAATCTCTAACATGGTCCTATGGACCATATATATATGTGTGTGTTTATGTATATGTTTTCGAAGACTAGACTAGTGGGTTCCACGATTTGGAGAGAGAGAGAGAGTTATGAAAAAAAGTGGGGCAAAGTTTTGGAGAATGTGAAATAATGCTAAATAGGGATCGGTGCTTGACTGCAAGTCAGCAGCTGCTGTTTTAAGTTTAACTACTGTTATTTCCTTTTCCATCTATCCCCCTCACGAAGAAAATGGATCTTTTTTATCAAAAAGGATATGCTAGCATTTTCTCCTAGGTTTTTTCCCCCTCATCTTCCCTTCTTTTGTCCAAATTTATTACTTGATTATATATATATATATATATATGTGTGTTGTGTTTATGTTTACAAAGTAGCTAGGGTTTGGCGTGCAATACATATGTCCTTGCAAAGGACATAATCTTATGATGTGTGTAAAATATAGATGCATATATACATATATATATATTAACATTAATTATGCCCATTATATGTATATAGATAACACAGTCTAACGTTCTTTAGCAATACAGGGTAAAGCTTGCTGCTTTCGATAGAACTCGAGAGATGCTGACGATCAACGCCGAACCCATGATCCCGACTGTTGTCATGATCATGATTGTTGAATTTGATCCACTTCTCTTTGTCAAGATCGAAACCTTCTCTCTGGGCATCTGTTTTCGATCTCGTTCTTGAAGAACCGCCACTTCCAAGATCACAGTGATAGACAGAACAAGATTTAAGGAGCCAAATCTTCTTCAACTGATCTTATTGTTATTCAAACTGATTCTCTGCAATTCTGTTTCCATATTTGTAGCAACTACACATGTGTATATATGAAAACACACTCGTGAATAACAACAGCAATTCCTCCAAATTCTCTGTTTATCCTATATGGTATCAGAGCCCCGAAATTGTCTATCGACGTATCTCTCGCTGTAATCAGCCATCGCCACAGCTCTCTGTTTTGCTGTCATGTCTTCCACACCGCCTGAAAGCAGCAACCCTGTCCACAGCGACACATCTGCTCCCGGCGGTCTTCCCAGCGACACCGTCACTGCGTTTGATCCTGCAAATCCTGCCTCGACGTTAATCAACGTCAACATCTCAAATGTGACAAAATTCACATCGATGAATTACATCACTTGAGTGTGCAGATCAAAGCGCTGCTACAGGTGTATAATCTGGACAATTTTCTCGATCTAGCTCAAGTTCCTTCGGCAACCATAATATCCAACAACGCTGTCGCGCCTAATCCAGCATACCAAGCCTGGTTCCGACAAGACAGACTGATTTTCTCAGCCCTTCTCGGCAGCATCTCCAGTTCCTGTCAGGCATTAGTTGCCTCAGCACCATCCTCGGCCGCTACATGGATAAGTCTGGCCAACACTTACGGAAGAAGCAGTAGGGGACATCTGAAACAGATCAAAGAACAAATGAGACGTTTCAACAAAGGTCAGAAATCGATTAATGACTACATGCACTTCTTCAAAATCAAATCCGATGAACTTGCCCTCCTAGGCAAGCCAATGGATCATGAGGATCTCCTGGACATGATTCTTGCTGGTCTCGACGACAACTATAAGTCAGTCAAGGATATTGTACACGCCAGAGACACACCACTGTCTTTCATCGAACTTCATGAGAAATTGCTGAGTCATGAAGTCGATCTTCAATCTGAATCGACTGCTCTTTCAGAAATTCCTATTACAGCCAATGCAACGCAACAAAAACCCAAAGCACAATGGCGTAATAACTCTAGACCTCAGAATGATCAACGCTCTCCACGTCCATCCAACACTGCTGGCCGTGGTTATCAAGGCAAATGTCAGCTCTGTGGGATCCAAGGCCACAGTGCTAAATTCTGTCGGTTGCTCAAACAGGGACAGGGTTTCTCGTCCTTCAATCCTGCCACTACACAAGGCCACACGAACTGGCAACCCTCTGCCCACCATGTCAATCTCTCCCCTGCACCTTCTCAATCTTGGCTGATGGACTCAGGCGCCTCTCACCACATTTCTACGGATCTGGCCAATCTTTCTCTCCATTCTCCGTACTCTGGCAATGACGAAGTCGTCATTGGTGATGGCTCTGGTATGGAAATAACACATACGGGTTCTACACTTCTACCCTCTTCTTCCCGTCCTCTTTCTCTAAACCAAGTTTTGTTTGTCCTAACAATGTAGAAAAATCTGATATCCATTCATCAGCTATGTGAATCTAACAAAGTGTCTGTTGAATTCTTTTCTCAATATTTTCAGGTGAAGGACTTAGCCACGGGGGCAAAGCTAGTAACCGGCAAGCTTAACAATGGAGTGTACGAATGACCTTCCTCATCCTTTCCCTCGAAATCAGCCAATTCCCCCTGTCTTGCCCCTTCTTCTGTCAAAACAACAATCTCGGAATGGCATTCACGACTTGGTCATCCATCCTCCGAGATACTTTCTCAAATTGTTTCCCGTTTTAGTCTTCCATTGTCATCTTCGTCGCGTCATTTGTCTTCATGTCATTCGTGTTTAATTAATAAAAGCCATCGTCTTCCTTTTTCCGTCTCCTCTGTGTCATCTTCTCGACCCTTAGAAGTACTTTTCTCCGACGTCTGGACATCTCCTGTTGTTTCATTTGATGGGTATAGATATTATGTGATCTTCGTAGATCACTTCACACGATATACATGGCTATACCCACTCAAACGAAAATCTGATGTCCTCTCCACATTTGTCAGTTTCAAAGCGCTAGTAGAAAATAAACTTCAAACCAGGATCGTGTCTCTATACTCGGATAACGGTGGTGAGTATATTGCCCTTCGATCCTTTCTTTCTACCCATGGCATCTCACACTTTACAACACCTCCTCATACCCCGGAGCATAACGGTATTTCCGAGCGAAAACATCGCCATATCGTGGAAACCGGTTTAACACTGCTCACACAAGCCTCTATACCCCCAGCTTACTGGTCTTTAGCTTTCCCCACATCAGTATATCTCGTCAATAGGCTACCTACACATCTTCTTAACTCGGTCTCTCCATTTCAGGTTCTGTTTAAGATAGAACCGAATTATTCTAAGCTCCGAGTGTTCGGCTGTCTTTGCTTCCCGCACTTACGTCCTTACACTCGACATAAGCTTCAGCCACGGTCTCATCCCTGTGTTTTTGCTGGCTACTCACTCACTCAGAGTGCCTTCCTGTGTCTTGACGTAAATTCAAGTCGAATCTACGTTTCCCGGCATGTCAGGTTCATAGAATCTGAATTTCCGTTTACTCGTCTTCTGTCCAGCAATAAATCACTTAATATAACCTCTGGTTCACAACCATTTCCTGCCATATCAACTCTAGTTCCTCTCAGGCCTTCGTCCACTCCTACAGCGCTGTTACCAGCTCTGCCTCCAAGGACCAATCCTTCCCTGATGCCAAGATCCCCTGTTTCTGAGCCACCATCTGATCCCACTGTCTCATCACCATCGCCTTCACCAAATCAAACTCCCGAGGTCCAGCCTAACATCTCACCACCACCCATCATCGAAATCCCAGCTACACAACCACCAAACCAAATTACACATACTCAGACCACAAACAGCCACCCAATGACAACCCGAGCCAAAAACAATATATCTAAACCAAACACAAAACTTACTCTCACCACCACCTTGAAACCCCCTACAGATGTCGAACCCACATGTGTGTCGCAGGCCATGAAACATCATCAATGGCGACAAGCAATGTCAGATGAGTTCAATGCTCTTATACGGAATGGGACATGGTCACTGGTTCCTCATGATCCGTCCTACAACGTAGTAGGCTGCAAGTGGGTTTATCGCATCAAACGCTTACCAAATGGTTGTGTTGACAGGTACAAAGCAAGGCTAGTGGCTAAAGGATTTCATCAAAGGCCTGGCGTGGATTACACCGAAACTTTCAGCCCCGTCATAAAGCCAGAAACAGTCCATGTGATACTCTGTTTGGCTGTCTCGAAAGGTTGGGATCTCCGACAGCTAGATGTAAACAACGCTTTCTTACAAGGATCTCTTCATGAAGCAGTTTACATGGAACAACCACCAGGATTCCGAGATTCCGATCAACCCAACTCTGTTTGCAAACTAAACAAGGCGATATATGGCTTGAAACAAGCCCCGAGGGCATGGTACACCGAACTCTGTTCTTTCCTACTGAATCTGGGATTCACTAACTCCCTCTCGGATGCATCTCTGTTCTTTTTCAACTCAGAAACGACAATCATATATCTACTGGTATATGTGGACGACATTATAATAACTGGCAGCAACCCAGCAGCAGTCCAAGAATTTATCAGCACCCTCGCAGCTCGATTTTCACTCAAAGACATGGGCCAGCTATCTTTCTTCCTCGGTATTGAAATACATAGGTACATTCAAGATCTGCTCATCAAGTACAAAATGGAAGGGGCGAAACCTGTTCCAACGCCAATGTGCTCTACTGCATCACTTTCTGCTCATTCCGGAACTCCGTTACCTGATCCAACCGAATTTCGTCAGCTCATGGGAAGTTTACAATACTTGCTCTTTACTCGCCCAGATTTAACATTTGCTGTCAACAAACTGTCACAATATATGCACAAGCCTACCTCGGATCATTGGAACGCTGTCAAGAGAATTCTACGCTACATCAGTGGCTCACGTACAGCAGGTGTGTTCTACTCATCACGCTCTCCCATCTCTTTACATGCGTTTTCAGATGCTGATTGGGGCGGTGACAAGGATGACTATGGCTCTACGGGGGCATTCATTGTTTATCTTGGCTGGAATCCCATCTCATGGTCCTCGAAAAAGCAGCGTTTTGCTGCCAAGTCGTCAACTGAGGCAGAGTACAAATCAGTTTCTTCCACAGCCTCGGAGCTCCAATGGTTACTGTCTCTCCTCACAGAACTCAATGTCAAACAGTAATATACTGTGACAATGTAGGCGCTACCTACCTCGCTGCCAATCCCTTGTTTCACTCCCACATGAAACACATTGCGATCCATTACCATTACATTCGAGGATTAGTGCAAGCTCAGAAGCTACGCGTCACTCATGTTTCATCATACGACCAACTAGCGGACATGCTCACCAAACCATTACCACGCACGAGGTTTGAACTGCTACGTCTCAAGATTGGAGTCACCGTCGACGCCCATCTTGCGGGGGCATGATAGACAGAACAAGATTTAAGGAGCCAAATCTTCTTCAACTGATCTTATTGTTATTCAAACTGATTCTCTGCAATTCTGTTTCCATATTTGTAGCAACTACACATGTGTATATATGAAAACACACTCGTGAATAACAACAGCAATTCCTCCAAATTCTCTGTTTATCCTATACACAGTTCTTGAACAAATCCTGATTTCCTGACAGAGATTCGCAGTTACTTGAGCTTCCGAACATGAGATTCGGGTAAAACTGGTTAAACCCGTGAGGGAATTGCAGAGGAGGAATCTTGTCCACGTCGTTCTTGGCGGCATCGAGGAGCCAATCGATGACTTTGCTGGGCTGATTCAGCCCTAATCCGTCTTGGAGGTCGTAGAGCTGAACCGCGGTGGGGACAGACAACCTTATCCGCCTGTCTCGAAGCCCTCGAACGGTGCAGACTTTGCTGTGTCTGTCCTTTCCTCCTAATATTCTTGAATCCCTGACGATTCTTGGGTTCTTGAGGGCTGATGTCCAATGTCTTGATAACGATGATGATGTACTCGGTTGGATCTGGTTAAGGTTTACTGAGCTCTGATGACGACGATCGGCTTCTTGTTTTGTCTGAAAGTCCTCGCATTCTCTCATGCTCGATCTCATCTTGAAGGTTATGCTACGTGCATTCCTTGGTTGGTCTATTGCATACTCCAAATATATGAGAGTTCAAGCAAAGTAAAGAAACATACTGATTACTCAAGTTTTTTTTTTCTTTCTTCACGTAAAGCAACAATTTGGAGAAAGATCAAACTGAATTATTGAAAGGAATTAATCAAAGAGATCTAAGAAAATCAGAGAGACAATTGAACTCTAATTAACGAAATTCATGAAAGCTCGAAATTCTCCTGCCATAAGGTGGATCGAATTCTTGGTCGGGAGGATATGAAGAAGATGATGGGACGAAGAATGGGAAGTTTTTCCTCAAAGGGTATGCATATGATTGAGTGTTAGAAGCAATAAATGAGAAAACAGATATACCCTCTGTTGTGGTTCAGGCCGGCCGGTTCCTCACCGTAATCTCTCCGATCAAACGCTCGTGTGCAAGAACGGAGAACCAAACGAAAGAGACATGAGATACGAGTTCAGTATCGAGGGGAACCTCGGTACCTACGTCTCAGAAAGAGGAAGTTTGTGTGTCTAGGGTTACAGACAAATACCGTCGCCGGAAACCGCCGATGACAACTCCGGAGACACGCACACACACGTACAGAGTGAGAGAAAGAGAACTCAGCCGCTGGAGAGAGAAACAACCATCCTCACGCGTTAGAAGATGAAACCCTCCTAGGGTTTTATTTACAAGTCCACGTCAAATGACCATAACGCCCCTCTGTCCTTGTGAAAACCTCTGACCGAACCCAAGGTTTCGAAAACCTCTTCTTCGATGAGTGGGTTTGCTGAAGACACTCTACAAATCTCCACCTTCTTCTGCAAATCCTAGCAAAACTTGCAAGAGACAAACACGAAGAAAACCACGCCAAACCTGAACCCTAGCACTTCCCTTTACTTCCATTTAACTCTCCCTCCCGGCATGATCCAAGGCGTATTGGAACACCGTTATTAGCAGAGTTCTTACCGAGCGTACCATAAGTACGTCTCAGCGTGAATAAACAATATAAACACGCAAATCCTAGTCTACCCAAAAAACGAGTGTCCGAGTGTCCCTCGACACCTCCCGTTTCCGAAGACTAACGATAACCTCGACTAGTTATGACTCCCTAGACCGTCTACATAACTCTCTCCGATGAAGTCTAAACTTCACCTGTGCACCCTTGAGAGTTAACCCCGACATCTACCCGTCTCCCGAGTCTAACCCGACTACCCCGAGACTAACCTGAGTCATACTATCGAACCTGCTAGAAAACCTAGCCCTGGATCCCCGTAGAGTCTACACCACCTATGAGTTAGTGACTTCTACCCACAGACCCTAACCTGCCAACTAAGATTGCCCCACGGTTTTATCCCGTGAAGACGCTCCTAGTTATCTACGAATGCTCCACCGAGAATGAGACACGTGAGTGCACGTGCTCCACCTCGAGAGGGAGTGTCCTAGCGCTCCAAACCTACACCGACTCTACCCCGGTGAATCCCGACACCTCCCAGCTCACACCATCTCCTGAGCATCCTACCCGAGGAAACTCCACCTAAATGTGGAAACCTCACCTCCTGACCTACAACTCCTTCTTGTAGTGTCCCTACCTACCCACGGAACTAATCACTCCATCCCGGTCCTTGGCCTTCTCCTACAACCCGATTTCTCGGGTTTGCCCGAGACCCCTAGTCCTTCCACCATACCCCTTTCGGGGTATCCCGAGTTAGAAAATCTAACTCCATCATCCTAACCGCTACCCTTTTCTCCTCTACAGACACCTAGGGTTCGGATGTGCATCCGAGAACGCGCTACAAGGCACATCCTACTGGAGGATTACAAAACATGAGGTTCCTAGCACTCGACTCCTTATTTGTCTCTTATTTGAGACCCGGAGTACCCGATGCATTAACCTTTGGTCCAATTAGCCAAAGGAAATGAATCGTGTGGCCTCCCATAACCTCGTTTTCCCGAGCTGGAGTATCTTGGCTCACCTCACTTGCCTTCTCCTAAGGGATAATTAATCCCTTACCGTGTCTACTAACCGAGGACTAACTGGTAACACTAGAAGTATCCTAGGATGATATAATCTGAGTCTAAAAAAAAAGACTCTACCAAGAAGTGACTTAACTGACCGTAGGAGTGACTAAACCATGACCTAAGGGAAGAGACCGAATCCTAGAGAACTTAACCCTAGGTATATTTCTACCTAGCCGTGCTTGACACGCTCTAACCCTAGTCTATAGATCCTAATCCTAGGTATATCTCTACCTAATAGGACCTACTAGACTAAGAGAACACGACTCAACTGGACTTAACCTAGGTACTCAACCTAAACCGATCTAGCGGACCTTAAACCAAGTCTAACCGGACAACACCCTAGGTAAATCTTACCTAAATGGATCTAATACACTCTAGATCAGACCTGATTGGACTTAATCACAAGGTATATTTCTACCTAACTGACCTACTAGACTCTCGCACAAACCTGATTGGACTTACCCTAGGCATAATTTTGCCTAACCGACCTATTAGACTCGAAACACAGCCTACCTTAAGACCTGATTACGTCTAACCAGACCTAACTTAAGGCTAACCGGACTTGATTACGTCTAATCAGACCTATAACACCGAGTCTACATGGCCCCCAACAAAGTCCTAACCAGTCCTACGATCCCGAGTCTACCCGGCCCCTCACAAAGTCCTAATCAGACCTACCCAAGTGCTATCTAGACCCTAACAACCCTAGTTAGACAACCAAAAGTCCCGACTAGACCATCACACGACCCTAATCAGACCTAAGCCAACCCTAGTCGACCAACCCCTGATTAAATGACCCTAAGTCCTAGTCAATCACCTAAAAGTCCTAATCATCAAACCTAAGCCAACCCCTATTGACTTACCAACCCCTGATTAGACTTTTAGCAACCTAATCAGACCTAAAATAAGCCTAATATGACCTACTTTACTTCTGATCAGATCCAATAAACGCCTAAAACCAATCCCTATAGACCTGCTCTGATCTAAACCGACCCTTACAGACCTATACCTAGTGATTCTAGACTTAACCAACCCCTAAACCAACCCGTTTTTAGTCAAATCCCAACTAATCAGACCTAACTGGTCAATGTACCGGACTCTATGACTCAAAACTGGTACTTAGGAGTCCTATCTAGTCCTAAACTAGATAATACCTAAGTCTACAATCAGATACTAATCTGATCAGACTTAGACAATATCCCTATAGACATTCTAAACCCCTAATCAGACCTAACCAAGCCTATTTTTGACTTAATTTCCTACTGATCAGACCTAGACTAAGCTAGACTAACTCAAATTTGGCTTAACCAGACCTAACCAAGACCTAAACAGCACTTACAGACCTATATCAGACCTAAACCAGTCTACTACAGACATGTATCAGCCTATTTAAGCCTAACCCGACCTCTTACCCAACTAAACGTAGTCAAATCCACCTACTCAAACCTATACTGAACAGAAAACCAGAATCTATGACCCACATCAGCTAAACCGAGATCTAAACAGGTATATCCCTAGTGAATTTTCACTAAACCAGACCAAATTGAGTTCTAATCCAACCAAACAGGGTAAACCGATCACTACAGACCCTAATCTACCCTAATCAGTTAACTATGCCCTAAACCAGACACCATCAGACCTATATGGATCATCCTAACCCTTAAATCTGTTAGTTCTAGTCCTAATTGTACATTACAGACCCTAAAACCGATCTAATCTAGTCCTAAAACACGAATTCAGACCTTAACCTGATCAATACTAGTCCTATACCGATAAACTAGACCTAAATAAGACCTATTTCAACCTATACAGATCTAGATTTACCTAATTAACCGAACCCAATTGATCTAAACTCGGACAATTCTAGCCCTAACCGGACAAATCAGACCTAAATCAGACCTATATCAAGTCTAAACCGGCCTACATTGACCTCTACCGGACTTAATTGACCTAAAACCAGTCTGGATTAGTCAGAACCGAACAAATCAGACCCTAAATTAGACCTAAACCAGCCTAAACTAGTCTGAATTGGCCCAAACCGGACTCAATTGACCTAAACCGGACTCAATTGACCTAAACCGGACCTGGAATGATCTAAACCGGACTCAATCGATCTAAACTGGACATGGAATGACCTAAACCGGACTCAATCGATCTAAACCGAACCTGGAATGACCTAAACCGGACTGAACCGGTCCAATTGACCCCAATCCGGACCTGAACCGGTCAATTGACCTGAACCGGTCCGGTTTGACCTAACCGGTCAACTGTTGACCAATTTTGGTCAACGATTTGACCTGACCAACCTAAACCGGTTCGATTTTAAACTTGAACCGGGTTTAATTACTCAATCGGATTTAAACCGGCTAAACCGGTTTAAACCGAAAACCCTAATTTCGGAAACATGAGTCACCGAGTTAACTCGGTCAACTCGGTCGTTGACTCAGCCCCGGAATCCGACTCAGTCGTGACTCGGTGAGTTACGGTCGATTCCGCCGGTTCTCCCCACCCAACCCTAGATCTACACACATAGACTCGAAAACTTACCTGAGTCAACTTGTAACTCGCCCGAGTCTTCGATCTGAGTTAGATCCGAACCCCTTCCAACTTATCGCCGCCGATCTGAACCGTTCCCGTCGTCTTTGACCGCCGATCTTCTCTCAGACGTTCTCCTCGACGTTGTTTCTTGCCTGAAACAACTCGAACCAAGCATCAGAACGTTCAGATCTAGACCAAGGGAACCCCGACTTACCTCGACCGCGTGTCGCCGCCGATCTGTCGTCTGCCACCCCGAACCAGGCTCTGATACCACTTGTTGTGGTTCAGGCCGGCCGGTTCGTCACCGTAATCTCTCCGATCAAACGCTCGTGTGCAAGAACGGAGAACCAAACGAAAGAGACAGGAGATACGAGTTCAGTACCGAGGGGAACCTCGGTACCTACGTCTCGGGAAGAGGAAGTTTGTG